TATGGTTTGCATGTGCTTGCACAGCACACAGCTCAGCCCATCAAGATAGTGGTTCAGCTTGTGACAGTGTGGGACGCATGGAGTGACCTTCCCCGATCTTGACGCTTTGCACCCACCACAAAACAAAGAGAAAGTCATACCCCTCTACATCAGTGCTAAGGCCAGCACACCTGACCAGCCAGGGCCGAGCCACATCTCAGACGTCGTCAGCGTGATGCAGGCTTAACAGGATGGGAGCAAAAGAGCTGTACGACCAAAGCAAGGAAGACTGGCAACAGGTTCTGGACGATGACCATCTCCAGGTCTATGCACAAGCTGTAGAGAGGATCTGCCATTTACAAAGATCCCTCACACTACATCGAGGCTTGTCAACAAGCGCACCAACCAGCAAACTGAGGAGGGCCATACCTGGACAAAACATCGCAGCGGCTACCAATGTGCCTTGCGCAGCACTAGAGTACACCAACAAATGACAGCTTTGACCCTGGAACAGCGCCTGACGGAACCCTGCGAGGCCAAAATCAACAGTGGCCAGCCTGGCACCACCACAGAACATCTGGAAGAGAAGTTACCCAAAAAACCCACAAGGGTTCAGCTCATCCAGGAAATTCTCCAAAACCAACCGGCAAACAGAACTGCCGGAAAGCACCACTCCATCGAGACCACCGGCTACCTCAAGTGTCAACATTGTGGCTGCGCCATCCTCAAGAGGTCTAAGGAGCCGACCTTTGCGGATTTCATTGCCAGCCCTTGCGTTGACCAAGCCTACACAGGTGAGACCATTGGCCATGCCACGCACAAGGTCACAAAGGTCACGCGCAAGCACTGCGGAGTGGCAGTCCTGACGGACAAGGACAACCACCTGATTGCCACTCAGGCATTGAAGAAGGAATGCAAAGGAGCCCCAGTCAAACAGAGCCCAGGGTTGAGGACACACTTTCCCACTCACTGGCTACTCCCGCCAGAAGGAACCAGCAGCAGTCCCACCCAAAGCCCAGCAGAGTCGACAGCTCCCACAACAGGGGACCTCCTGTCCAGGGCACTCTTCCGGGCTGACGAGAGCACCGGCACAGCCAGATGTGGCCATGAACCCCAGCCCAAGCCTGGCTATGCCGGATGGCAACTCGCCCACAGCAAGCGATGAGGAGCTCTACAACGTCGAGTACTTCTAGAGCTGCCTCCTGCTGCTGACGCGGCCTCCACAGGTTCAACACGACCCTCTCGTGCACATGCAGCAAAAGAGCCACCCTAGAAAAAAGAAATCCATCCATCCATCCATCCAGCTAGCCATCCGTGGACCTACCTGAGACCTGCAAGTGTATATACTGAAAATGCAAATGATGCCAGCCAAGGTCTTTGCACCAGCGACAACACGGTGACCGAAACATTGATTTCTTGGCGCTACTATTTGGCTCGCTCATGCCCCACAGGGACCCCACACCCCCTTACTCTTCACTTCGTTCCCTAAACAACTCTCGCCTACCCTATCAGCTGGCTTTCGTGAAAGAAGAAAAATCAAGCGACCGAAGCAAGCCTTTTGCTCTTCGATCTCGGCCTTCAGCGCCGCCTCAAAGTGCATCGAGATCAAAAACATGTACAGCATCTGGAGCAGTTACCACGAGCAGCAGATTTTCTTGGACCTTCTTTCTGATTGCCAGTTCAAAGTGTCAACCCTTCTGCAACATGCTACCCAAGCTTCTTCGACTTCACGTTAGCTGATGTTAGCTGCACATTTGCTGATACATTTTTGATACCCCAACCTCATCAATGCATGGTGTGGGACTTGACTGGGATGTGAAGCTACTGAAAGAACGAAGTGGTTTGCTGATCCGCTGTTCAAACGGTTGGAGTCTAGAGATCATGTTTAGAGGGCAAACCATTGAATCCGAATACATAAGGGCCAGCAAGTCTTCATAAAGGCAGGCCTGGTGACTGAAATCCTGGAACTGTGGAACTATCAAACCATCCTTTGCTTTGCAGTTGTTTGGAAGGCTAAGGCTGAGAGTTGAGACTATGGCCACCTCACCCATGGATATCCTACTCCGGAATCTAAGCTTTGTAAACTGAGGTAGAGAAACTCTGTCAGGGCATGTTTATTCGTGACGGTCCAGAGGAACTTCCTATGAAGAAACGCACGGCTCTTATCGGCTCTTGCGGTATGTCTCAGCAGAGTGCTCAAGAACAGCCGTCTATGGCTAGTTGGTCTCTAGCTTCTTCATATTCCTTCACCAAAACAAGAAGCTTCCTTCTTTCTTCTGTCTCTATCTCTTATCTCTTTCTCTGTTCTCTGTTCTCTTTTCTCTTTTCCCTTTCCCTTTCCCTTTCTCTTGCTCTTTCTCTTTCTCTTTCTCTTTCTCTTTCTCTTTCTTCTTCCTTGGAGAAGTCAGTACAGCTCACACGCCTCTGATGTTTCGTGAGCTTCAATCAGACTGTCAACTTCGGCCTGATCGGCAAGACCAAAAAGCTCCCAGCTCAGGGAGCTTAGAAAGCCAAACTGCTTCGGCTCAAAAGCTAGGCAAGCTTACTGACAAGCAAGAGTTTGCGATTTACCTACTGGAACTCAGAAAGCTCGGGCTTTGAATGGTTGATTTGGTTCCTAGGTCTTTTGAGATACTTAGTATTGTTGATACTCCGGATACTTACGTCGTCAGACAATTCGAAGGAAAGGCCATTGTTTTTTCATCAGAAAAGCTGAAAAGCTGTGGTGTGTCTGTGCCTTATGCTTTGTACGGAGGAACTGCAATTCAGATTGATGAGTGGACTGGAGCTCTGCAATCTCAGCACCTTGCCCATCCTGGCAAAGGATGGATACTGCATAGAAAAGGTGTGAAGCAGCTCCCATGCAAGCAACATACAATGTCTAGACTAAAAAGAACGATACTGCAGAATGACCCGAAAGGCCTGAATTCGGTCCAAAGCCGCTTTGTACTGAGAGGCTTGTACTTGGCACTGCTGCTTCAGCGCATGCACCTTCCAAATGTTACAGTGGTCAAAAATGCGTTGGGCAACTTGCTGGTGTGATCAACATGCTAAAATAGTCGAACCTCTGCATTCATGTTGCTGAGGCGCTCTTTCCACATTGCTGTGTTTTTGTTCTCACGTGCCTTAGTTGCACACCTCTCTAGACTCTAGTCTTTTGACGCGGGGAATATGGTGGGATCATAAGACTGGGAGATCGGCAGTAGCAGAAGATTTGACATTCTGAATCTCTCGCAACGCTTCACCTCATTTCTGAACAAGAAACATACATTGGATGTTGCAAGCATGGCAAGCATGCTGCAAGCATGTACTGAGCCATCCATCAGGATTCAGACGTTTTTCATCTTCGTAATTGCTTCTAAAAGCATCCAGCTGCTTGGCTGCCTTGCTTCCATGACCACTCCTCAGCTACTAAAGCTCGCCAAATGCAAGAAACTGGTTGAAACGCTTGAAACATACATCTTGGAACCCCACTCAACTGCCTCAGCGCACGTTCTGTGTGAGAGATTGTCAAAGTTCAAATTGTCAAGTCGCTTAGCGGCTCGCCTCAGCAAGCTTCTGCACCTTTGCATTTGCATCCTTCAGAATTTGGTCCACTTCACTTTCGTAAGCCTCATGGATTCGAGTGTGTTGATGAGTTTTTCAGATTCACATTCACAAAACCATTCAAAAAAATAACCAAGCCTGGCAAACCGCTGCCAAATGTTGGTCGGCCTTGCGGAAGTCAGACTAGCCGTGTACATTGCATTTGAGCTTCTGCGACTGGCGTAGTAGTTGAGCTGGCCCATGACTGTAAACAACAGCGACACCACTCCACAACACCACCGAAGTGTCGTGCCCTTTGAGATTCTGGCCTCATCATTTCTTGTATTGAGATGGAATATAACTTTCGTAAGCTGAGCAACCTGCAGACCAATGAACCATGTCAACTAAAGCAAAATAAATGCAAGAGCTGGAAGCCTTCTTGCTCATCTTGTGGTGAATTTCATCTCTGTCCATGGCTGCCATTGCTAACGCAGTTTGCTGTTTTTATGTATCATAAGTTGTGATCCCTCACTCCAAATTTGATCTTGCAGAATGGGTTGAGCTGCAAATCCAAAGCAAGTCAATCAAGTCAAGTCATAGCAATATCAAACAGCATGTCCTGTCATTGAGCCTTCATCTATCAACAGGTTGGTAAGCTGTCAGGGCTGGTATCGGCAGGCGGAGGCTGCACAGAAAATGCAAAGTGTTTATGAATCCACAGTGGTTGCAATAGCAGTGGCTGCTCATATTCGCAGCAGCAATGGTATCAGGGGCCAGGATTGGGATAAACTCAATCATCATGAGCTGAAGAGTGGTGGCACAGGCATACTAAACATGCCACTGCAACTCTTCTCATCCGTGTTACATGGCCTACAAAATTGGACTCCAGAACAAAAAGGAAAATGAAGGGCGTATAGTGGTGTATGGTGACATGTATGTGTACCCACCTGCGAGCTATTGTCCAGAAGGATGCCAACTCTGAGATGACAGTGAGAAGTCGCCACGGCGAAATACATTTCTCTCTAATGTGAAGAAGTGTGACATACTGAAAGTGCGAACAGGAATTTGGGGCCCTCAAAGAATCTGGTCAGCACGAACGCTACAAACGGGGCTCCTGGCCTTACTACGAACGGAGCAAGGACGCTACAAACGGGGCTCCGTGGCTCCTGGAGACGTGCCGAAAAGAGCCGCCAAAAGCGTCCTTGCTTCTAGTAGCAAGGCCAGAAGCTCCTAGTAGCGTTCGTGCTCCTCATGAATTCACTCGCTCCATCTGCCGTGATTCGTACGATACACAAAAGCCCTACAAAGTCAACGAAGTGGTCAGCGACGTGAAGACAGTACATAGCGACCGTAGCCCAAATTAATGACGCTTGAGGTTGTAGCACACTTTGTGACTCAGTGAAAGAAAAACTCCTCTGAGCGGTAGCAGGTTTCTTGGCCAAGCCACTTTTGGAAGGGATTGCAGTAACAATTATTTTGGTTCATCGACTCATACTGCTGCAGGCTTGCAAATAAGAAACCCTCTCACTGCCCCCTTGAAAAGGACAGGCAGAAAAAAACAAAATCTTCAAAATGATTTAACGCCTACATTCTTCACTTGGTGAAAAGCGATGCAACGGTGCAAGGTAGGACTGAATTCCTGGCGGAAATGCAAAATACAAATCTGCCTAAGCATGTAAGACTTGTGTCAATTACGGTTCTCTCGTAACTCTGCCGGAGTATCGGGCGACTCTACCAATCAGTTCCTTGCTTTCCATTGCTGCCTGTACAGGAGACTGAAATTCATTGAAGCAGCCAAACATCCAGACGAACATACGCAATGCCCCCTTTGTCCATCGAAGCCTTCTTTCGCACCGCCTTTACTAGCTACCATCACAGGCACAGCATGTGGCTTCCTTGGAGAACACCCACACAGCAAATTCTCGAAGCTCGAACTGCTTTGCTTTTCTAGCATGAGGAAGTACTGTGTATTTTATGAATGTATGCCGTGGACATTAATCTAGATGTTAAGGCCAGAACGATTTTGCCTTCACTGTGATAAGAACCTAAGTGATGGATCAGAATGAGCACATGGAGGTTCAGGCATCCCAAACATAGCCAATCAACCTGGGGTACTTGTCCGCCCTGGTTCGATCCTGCGACCTGAGCTCGTCTGTCAATATCAGCACAATTCAAACAAGCTTTTGACACATTAGTCACTGAAGCAAAGCATGACAAACGTCCAAAGAGGAACGCGATACAGTCCACTTCGAGTTACAGCCGGATTGATTCTGAAACTGAGTTATTTCGAAATCCGACCAACTAAAACTACTTTTGGAACGCAATGCAGTTTCGGAACCGGGGCTCTATCCGTCGACTCCGGACATCAAGTTACACTTCAGTAGGTGCCAAGCAGTTTGAGTCCGTATGCGAATGATCTCAGCATCACCCTCTTCCTGCTCAATCTCGGGACAAATGTCCAGGCATCACAAGTTTCCAGTCATTCACTCAACCATGCTGGATATTGCCTAGGGCCTAGTGTGCACATGTGTGCACTGCTATTGAACAAGAACGAAATCTCTTCACATACTACTTACTGGGATATATGATATAATATGATATTATGTGGCAGTTTCTCAAAGCACCTTCAGATCTTGTGCCACACGAACAGCACGTTCGATGGCATTGCCGGTCGCAGACAAGATGAGCTGACAAAGCATGAAACTGAACACAGAGAAAGCGTTGCAGACTGAAGACAGTGCAAGCAGCATCGTCGCATCAACATGCATCAACATTTATATGCTGACAATGACGCAGCCACAACCTGTGCTGCTGGAGGACGTTCTGGCCGGTCATCAGAAGCTGGCAAGCCGCCCTGAGCCAAACGTCTCAAACCAACGCACATCACGCACTCTGCTTGCTGGCTTGCTAGATGAACACAAGCTTGTTCAGGCACTGGCCAAAAAGCCCTTCGCCACCCGCGTGTAAAAGGATGATGACTGCACGGGTTGAAGCATTGGTGCAAAGCATCTGTGTTCTGTGTGTGCGCGCACAAAAGGCAAGAATCTATTATACAAACAAAGCCTTCGCAGTGCTGATGCGAACTTCTGCTTTCATCCGGGAGTATCTTGGCCCATCCTCACTAAGAATATGTATCTTCTTGTGCAACACATGGGCAGCACAAAACAGTAGATTTCGGTCCAGCCAGGGGAAAGTCGAGCTTCGTCTAGCCTCGCCATTCACAACACATGGACAGGCACACTTTTGCCGTCAAGCACAAGCCCCGCCCATCAATTCTCATCCAATGTAAGGAATGTCCAGAGGCTTAAAAAATGTTAATTTCATGGAGTGATATCGTGTTCGTTCTTTACTTTAGTTTCCTCGAAGCTGTCGATGTGCTCTGCTTTCTGCAGGGTGAGGCCTCACAAAGGCAAACTTTTGGAAAACCCTGTGCTTTGGCAGTTCGAGGCATAATCCAAGGCTATGGCCAATATCATCCAATCCATTGAGAAGGCAATGCCTGTAAAGAAACCAAGCTAGAATAGCGAAGACGCAAAAACATTGATGTTGCTGAGGCAGGTGCCTTCTGAATGGATCAACTTCAAAGAGGATGGCCTTGCATCGTACGTGCATACACAAAGTGCAGTAAACAGAGAGCGTAGCCATAGACATTTATTTATTTACTTACTCCCCAGATAGCGAGGCCTATTCGGTATAGGAAGGGGTGCCTGCGTGCGGTGCTGGTGCCGCCGCAGGCTGCCGCCGCCCAGATGTGTGGCCGTGTGCGCTTTGGAGGTGCCTCTGCCAAATGTGCGGCCGTGTGCACTTCGGAAACTTGGGTGCTGATGCGGCTGCAGGGTGCTGCTGTCCATGCCCATCTGCACTTTTGGAGAGATGTGTATGGCCGTGTGCACTTAGCAGCCTAGGTGCTGCCGCCGCTGCAGGGCGCGGCTGCCATATGAGGATGGAGTGCCGCAGTGCCGCAGGAGGGTGCCGCTCCTGGGTGCTGCCGCAAGATGTCCATGGCCGTGTGGGTACTGGTGCCGCTGCAGGCTCTTTGAAACTTGGGAGCTGGTGCGCTGCAGGGTGCTGCTCCAGCGTGCTGCTGGAAAATGTCCATGGCCGTGTGCGCTTTGGTGCTGGGTGGTTGGGCAGGGTTGCTGCCAAATGTCTATCCTGCTGCTCCTGCTGCTGCTGCTCCTCCTCCTCCTGCTGCTGCTATCTGGGGTCTATGCTGGCGTAATTACTATTACAGTATATATATATATATACAATATGGTTGGTAAAGGTTGTTCCTAAGGTGTACCGGCATTCTTGCACACCAGGCCTCGCAGCCTTCTCTCCTGATTTCTTGTTTGGTCAAGTCAACCGTGAGCTTCTTCTTAGCCTAGCCATCCAGGCTCTGTTCAAACAAGGCTGAACAAAAAGCTTGCAAAGCATTCTAGGCCTCCGCATGGGTCCAAAGTTCTTCAACTATGTCCTTGAAAAAATGCAGTTTGTTTCATTCTGTACACTATCAACCACTGCTGTGCTGGAGCTCCTTCGTGATAGCAATCGGCAGCATGCCATTCTTGAAGCAGCTGGCATGCAAAAGCATTGGCCACAGATTCTGGTTTCGACAATAGCAGCCATCGAGCTGAGAAAGAAGGCAATTAGACCAAAAAACAAGACAAACCAAGCACAGCGTCAATTCTGCTGGTTTTGCTTGTTGAAGAAAATATCTGCAAAGCTAGGAGCGATGATGCACCGGATGCCCTGGTCATTCAACGCCCAAGGCCTTAAATGATGAATCTTGAAGACATCCGTTCTTTACATCTCCCCCCAAAGGAGCTCTCTATGAAGTATCCGATCGGATACAGCAGACCAAGAACAGAGCGCATGCTCTCTTGATGACCCACAACCTAATGATCCAACATCACTCCAATGGCAATCTGAGAATGGCATCAGACCTTGAGTGGTGAAGTCTGAGTTTCAGCACCAAAATTATCTCCTGCTATCAGCACTGATGCTGATCTGTATGGCTCCTACCAAAGCCCACGTGCTTCGTGTTGCTTGAGGTCGCGCAGCCATCAAAAAAAGTAAACATAAATACTGCAGCCGGAAAGAGCCTGGTTCAAAACAAAATCCTGTCGCTCTGTCACACCATCGTCCTTCACAATAGTTTTCTCAGCATCTGTGCCATGCTTTTGAAGTTCATCGGCATCAATAAAGACAAGCGCTCTGATGTGCAAACGTTCTCCTCATACCTCAGTTCGAAAAAGGCTGCCTTTCCCAACCTCAGAGTTGCTGCAGAAGGAATGAGGCAGGTTGATAAAGGGTGCCATTCAGCTTGGCGAACTCTCAGATTGGAGCCCTGTCCTTTGTATGGTTTTCCTCAGGTGATTCAAAAGAACAACCTTACCCTTATGTCCACCAGAGGTTGCTTTATTCTAGAAATCAACAAACTTGAAAAAAATAGAAAACAAACCAAAAAAGCACCAGCAAAACAAAGAGCAACCAAGAAAGCAAAAAATAAGCAACCCAAAAAAGCACAAGCAAAACAAAAAGCAACCAAAAAAAATAGTAATAAGTTAAAAACATGCAACCGAAAAAACAAAAAAAAACATCAGCAAAACAAAGAGCAAGCAAAAAAACAAAGAAACTTGGCTGTCGTCTTCACCGTCTTAAGCCGCCAAAGAGAAAGTTCCCGTGGTGATACCAAACTGCTTTTGATTGTCACATACCATGACACGCCTCACAACATGCTACAACAAATCTTCGGTCACGTGAAAATTGTTGCTCGCAATCAGGATGAGGGTAGCCGCAGCTCAGACATGATACGATAACGTTTGGAAAAATGGTCAAGGCATTTGAGGACAAGGATCAAAAATTGCTTCGGAATGATGCAGTCGGTGTCTACCTGGGCGTGTGTGCTTCCCTCGGCAAATCTTATACAGTATCTTCATTCAGCAGGTTCAAAGCTAAGGACAGTACGTTCGCCTTCTTGAGCGGACAAGCAACAACATCATCCAGACTGGCATCGGCTTCCGAATGGATTCTTTTGTTTGATGTCTTTCCAAAGATTCAGTGTCAGTAGCCGCAGCCTTGTAAATTGTGGCATGCCAGCTGAAGTAGGAGCCGCAACACCTACTTGGAGATTAGGTTCAGCGTGGTCCAAATGGGAATGAATGACAGCTGAGGCCCAACCCTCAGAAGGAGGTTCTTGAACCTCCTGGAAGCAGCTGAAAATGAGTCAATCTGCATCATTTGCAGTCACCAACTCCAACACAGCAAGCACAAAAGTGGCCAGTGTCCTTTGGAGCTGTCCAATCAATGGGCTCTGAATAGAAGTCCTGGAAGTGGCTGCGCACGTCTTACTTCCACCAAGCAGATCAAGCACATCAAATGAAGAGCATGTTAGCATGCATGCATAAGAGCATCTTCCGTGTCACACACTGTGCGAAGTCCATCGACTTTGTTGGCTCCGCCATCTTGCCATTCGTTGCCTGCAAGATCTGCAGTGTAAGTGTCCCCAAGAATCACGGAATCAAATGAATAGTCCCAGGGCTTTATCTGGTTTCTTAAGCTTGGTAGCTAATACCCCCGGCCTAAAAATACATAGACAAAAAGAAAAGCGTCTGAAAGGCGTCTCACTAGTCTGAATCACTGGGCATGGTACATGCTATGCGAAGCTTTCGGGTCGGTGTCGGTTGCAGTCTCAAGTTGTTCAGCTCAGTGCTGCTGGATATCCTCCCACCAAACACTTATCGCTGAGCCTGCATCTCGGGAAGAAGCTCTCGCACGTCCTTCCAGCTCCGAATACCATGTTCAAAGTGTGTTCAAAGGCAAGCGCAAACCGTCAAAACAAAGGCTCCTTGAGTTTGCCAGCAATGGCAGCAGCGGCTGCCATTGCTGGGCCTCAACCCCAAGCCGAGATTGCCATGGCTTGCAATTGCCAACCAGTCTCAAGTCACTGAGCTGGCAGCTCATCAAATGGGTGCGGCCTTGTGGTCCCTCAGGTTGAATGACATCTGTCTCGACAGCATCCTTTAAATGTCAAGTCCGCCGGCCTGCCGGCGTGTCTTGTGGATGTTCTTGTACTTGTTTATATGTCCAACACTGAAGTTGGTCGTCGTTTAGATTGTTCCTCTGCGCGGATTTTTGCCTTGACTAACTTGACCCCCCCACCGCACCCCCCCCTCCACGTTGTCGCCGTCGCCGTCGTCGTCGTCGTTCTGCCGCGTCGCCTGTGCTTTGCCTGCGCTTCACGGTGTTCGTCCAAGGCTTCAATGGCATGTTGCCGACACTTTGCACCAACCACCATTTGCACCAAACCACGGTTTGCCAACCATTTTGCAACAAACCCCACTTTACACAAGCCACAGTTCACATCAAACCACTGCTTTTACCTATCGCCGTATGCTATAGAACCAAACCTTTCCCGCAGCTCTCCCACCTCACCCCTTCTGCCCGCGCACTGTCTATTCAGTTGGCTTGTGAATGCTCTTGCTTCCTCCTGTCTATCACCCAGCCCTTGACCGACCCTCTTGCTACCGACCCCTCTCCTCAATACCGGACCTATGTAGAAACTTTTCGACATCTTAGCATGGCTTTAGGGTGACCCCTCCCTTTTGTGAGCACCACTCTAAGATCACTCATGATTTACGTTACCTTCTTGCTCCAGGCGACTTTTGCCCGCCTCTGCACTCCGCCCCTTCCGCTCCCCCTTCTCGCCCTCCCCGACTGCAGCCTGCTAATTTAAGACTTACTATAGGGCCAGCCCTTGCTGTGTCTCTGCGTTGCGCGCCCCACCGCCTTGAGCCTCTCTTGCTTGTGTCTTTTGATGGCGACATGTTGCTCATGTGCTTTCCCTACACTGCTCAACCAGCAGGAGTCAATTAATGACTTCCTCTAGGGCCAGCCCTTTGCCGTTTCTTTGCTTTGCGTCTTCCCCCGCCATTTTTTGCTCACAACACGTTGCTCGTCTGCTTTCTCCCCACACATGCGGCAGCATTCAGCTGTGGAGGCCGGCGGCACGCGCCAGCGGCGGTTAAATAGAAGATGTTCTGATTTCGGAAGCTTCCAAGATGCAAAAGTGCTTCTCTCGAATAAAGGGCCATGCCTGTCTTCCCTCGAAATTTCGATTTGAAGTAGCAGCACAGCGTTCCTGGCCACACCACAGAAGATTGAAGGAACAGCTATCAGCTGTGCTACCAGCTGTGCTACCAATCAGCTGTTGGCAGAGATTTGGGCTGGTTTAGATACCAAATGATACTGGGTTGAGAGCAATCCGGCACGAGATTCTGCAAGGCCAGCACTTGGGCGCTACAGCTACAAAACTCCAGGCTCGGGGAGCTCGTACACAAAATTTGGCCAAACCCACCTCACACATCTTCCGACATCATCCTACATCTTCCTACCTGAGTTGGCCTTGTCATTTCGGTGTGGCCAAATCCAAATGGTATGGCTTTATGGCTTCGCGATTGGTAATGAGTGTTTGCTGTTTGAGTGGATTCTGGGTGGCCAAGAGGCACTTTCTCCTCGCCTTGCGCAAGATCTTGTGGATGCGGCTCTACTAAACAACGGACTGAAACAGGCGCACCAGTCCGTAGTTGCTTGTTGGCTTCAGCAATGTCAGCCCGACCTGTCCTAAACTGGTTGTTCATCCTTAACAATTTGGTACATACAGCATACGGGCTACATGCAGAAGTACACACAATGTGGTATCTTGTTTAAGTCTTGTTTTCCTTAAAATCTAGGAACTGTTCGACCATGAAGTTCTATCTTCAACGAAGCTTCTCCGGCCCTCTAGAGACCTTCTGCGTCCAAGGTAGTAGCTTCCTGTCGCATACTAACTAATCTATTTGAACTTGAATTTGTAGTCAGTCCTGTGGCTTCAAGCGATCCGGATTCATGCCCAAACACATAGAACAGCCAGGCTCACGCCAATCGAAACCTGCCTAGCCAGTGCTGCATAGATTCAGTATGTTTTTCTCAACTACACAAACTATTCTGAAGATCTGGTCAAATCCGCCTCAGTGAAGATCTTGTCAAGGCCTTCAGCTTCAGCCTGCTTCTTGACCTCTGACAGCACAAACAAGTGAACATTCGCCTCTGCAAGCTGAGAGGCTCCAACCAAACCGGATCCGGGCACAATCATAGCTTCAACCCCAGAAGACACCTCAAGGCTTTGAGAATATGTAGGCGTCTTGAAGTAGCCGTGTTGAAGCCGTGATGTAGCTGTGTTGAAGTGTTTTTCCCCAGCACCTTTTCTGAACGGAAACATTGGTTTTGCTGCACCGGTCTTTGCCAGCACACCAAACACATCACCGCTATCCAGGTGAGCCTCAAAAAACAAAAACCACTGAAGAAACCGGTCTGAGTGTTTCTTTATGAAACCTCTGAGTGGCCTTGGGTCTCGAGGCTCCTGGAGTGGCCTTTGGCCAGGCAATGTTTGCAGAGCATTCCCAGGTCGAATGCACATGAGTGCATCAGTCTCACTGACCGCTGAAGGAATGGTGAGAGCAACTACTTCATGGCACTCAAACAAAGATTTGTTGCATTGTCAAATCTTTGTGTTCAAAACGGAGTGAAATGAAACATGTGTCACAACGTATCCGCTGCTAAACCTTCACGGGCTCAACAAGCACACACCGCTGACCCTGTCACCAAGCAGACCTGCACGGCACAGCAAACGTTGCTGTGCTTCTTCATATTTCTGGTGTGTGTGTGTGTGTGTGCGTGCACAACGCAAACTCTTCGAAAAGACTGTGCTCAAGTACTGTTTCTCAGTCTTTCCCCAGATAGCAGCTATTGGGGGTTCTTGTTTCAAGTACAGGAAAAGGTGCCTGTGTGCGCTTTGGAGCTTGGGCGTTGGTGCCGCTGCAGGATGCCCTTGCCAGATGCGCGGCTGCAGGGTGCTGGTGGCGATGCGAGGTGCCGCTGCCACCTTGTGCGCTTTGGACCCAAGTGCTGGTGCCTGCTTGGTGCCACTGCCAGTTGTGTGGCCGCGCGCGCTTTGGAGCTTGAGCGCTGGCACCGCTGCATCTGGAGGTTGGGCGCTGGTGCCGCTGCAGGGTGCCGCTGTTGTGGCGCTGCCCACTGGCATCTTGGGGCTCGGATTTAATTTTGCTTTTTTTTCCGTTTTTCGGTTCAAGTGCAGTACTGTACTTTGTGGACCTTGAAGTGAAGTGCTTTGTGGGCCTTGAAGCCGCGAAAGCCAAAAGCCACACAGAATCCAGAAGCCACGAAAGCCACGAAAGCCAAAAGCAAATGACAAACAAACACAACAAAAACTCACAAAAATGAATATTTGACAGTTCTCAGTACCTGCTAGAAACAAACTCATGAAAGTAAGAACCAAATATGCTAGATTCTGGATGTTCAAGTTTCCATTGAAAACAAACTGCGGAATCACGTCCCGGCGCATTCAATGTCTTCACCCGTTTTTCTGAAGAGTACGCCTGGACTTGCCCTCCGCGACCACCAAAGTGAGCAACTGCCTCACACAACTTCGACTGGCTGACAAAACTGCAGCAAACTACAAAAAAACAAGTGAGTTGGACAGTTCCGGTGACCCCTGTATTCCGCCCTTGCGTTGGCCTTGAATCAATGATAAACTAACAAACGAAATTCTAAACACACCTTCCCTGAAGCACAATGCTGCGGTAGAATCGGAACCTGCTTTGTGTTTAACTATGGCAACTATGGAGGCATTGCAGCATACAGTGGTACATTATGAAAGAGATTTGCATTTGCAAAGGAAGAAGAAAGACCAAAGAAAGGACAGAAAAGAAAGAAAGAAAGAAAGAAAGAACGAAAGAAGAGAGAAAAACAGAAAGAAAGAAAGAAAGAGAGAAAGAGAGAAAGAGAGAAAGAGAGAAAGAGAGAAAGAGAGAAAGAAAGAAAGAAGAAAGACAGAAAGAAAGAAAGAGAGAAAGAGAGAAAGAGAGAAAATGATGAGAACAAACATGAAAACAAGAGAAAAAGATCATAGGAAGCATTCGCTTTCGCTCGTAGTGAAGGGGTAGCAACATCAATTCTCGAGCCTGAGAGAAAGGAGATGTAAGGAGTCTTAGGTCATAGTGTTTAGAATCGGTTCTAAAAGGCAAAGAAAATAAATATCTAAGTTCCAAAGGCCAAAAGCTGAGTTCGTCTACCGTGCTAGCAGTTCGCAACTCCTGCAGTTCACCTTGCAAAGCATCCGAAGATATCCAAATTAAAAAGTGGTGTCCTGCCAACCAATAACCTAACAAACGAATACCTGGATTTGCAACCTTGCCTATGGGGTAAGGGAGTGCCAAACAGGATACCAGAAGCCGGGACGCCAGGCCACAAGTTACAGGCCACAGACTTCCAAACAAATAAGAACGAACTATATATAAAGAACTTGGAAATAAGAGATAAGTTCCCCCAAAGATCTAGGAACCAAATCGTTAAGGCCAAGCCCTTCTGCGTCCTAGGTAGAAGCTTCCTTGCTACCACCACCCCCTTCCTAGCTACTTAAACTCACCTCTCGGACTACCAGTACGGCTACAACCTACTAGCGATGGCCTCCATGGAGTCCAAGCCTGGTATGTTGAGTTCGGCAGAAAAGTTCCTCGACCGCCTGTTGCCTGCACACAAGTCTCAAGCTACAAAACTCAGCCCAGGCACTGCTGTGCTGGAAGGCAACATTCCTTTACAGTGATGCTCCATGAAGCGTCTTTTGTAGCATTTGGACTGGCGTGCTTGGCTCCAGATGTTGATAAACGCTTTTCACAGCGTTTTGAGTCTTTGAATGAAGAAGAAGTGGATCAAAAAGCCTCAAGACAAACAGCGCCATGGTCCGGATCAAGGCTACACTTGACCTCGGGAATTTGCAGTGGCAAAAAAGAAAGGTCCAAAGAAAGAAACAAAACTAGTGGAAAGAAAGAAACTGAATTCTTGGCATCAGCAGGTGGTCTTCCTGGGCCACCTGGCCTTGGCACATCAAACATCGAATGTATGCAACATGCAACATGTACAGTATATAGTAGTCACAATATAGTGGGGTGTGCATACGATGCTTTCCCCATAGGTTCCGGTATGTTCCAACGAACAAAAAAGATCTACTGTAAATACTTCATTTCCGATGGATGCTTCAGAGTTGACCTGTGGCCTTCACAGGATCTCCAGCCACGGCGGCGCCTCAACTGTGAAAGCAAGTCAATCTTCGAAACATTCTCAGCTGGTGCTCTGGTCGTATGGGACTTGGACGTAGCGAGCTGCTTCTGCAAATGCCTGGAGAATATGCATCGTGTTATCACAAAATTCAATTGTATATGGCTCACTCTTGCACTTCGCACAGCCTTTGGTTTAGCCACTTGCATGTCAACGGGGGTAGTAGTCAGGGTCCATTGAAACCAACTCACTGACCAGCACACGGAAAGCTTCAACAGTCTGTACCACTCGATTGGGATCTCAGAAGAACAGCGACGCTCATGGTCGGTTTGACCCTAGCTGGCTCAACGATACGGCATCCCCAAACTCCCTGATTCAGTATGACTCCCGAAACCCAACGACAAGGGCAAAGAAAGCAATACCATAGAAATGCAAAAGAAAGAAGATGCAATTCACTGAATGTCATGGTTCCTATTAGGTAAGCTACCTGTAACGGCCCCCACATTGACACAGAGAGGTGCAACAGGAAATCCAATGTATACTCTAAAACCTTGTTGAGGCAGTGTTGTTTTTGCGCGTGGTTGACCAAGCAACTTCCTATATATATATATAGGTGTCACTTGTCCGTGTCGTTCGCCCACTCGAAAAGTGCATGAAAGAGTGTGTTTTTGAAAGTTAAAAAACCATTCACTTGAGATGCTGAGATGCTAGATGGCTTGTTACTGGTCTTTGGCCAAACTAAACTCAACTTCTAGAAGCACCATCATCTTCAAAGCGTCGTAGCGGAAATCACACCCAAGCGCATCATCTTCATCTTCTTGCTAGCTAGCAAAGTACGCACGAACCAGCAACCATGAAGCACATCATGATCAACAGAGTATCATCATTCACAGGATAACCCACACAAGAGGAATTCATCTTCATAGCAAAACCGAATACTGTAGTCTGACTGATAAAATTGCAGGCCTCGCAATCGGCTGCTGCAGAGAACTCCATGCTGATGGGAAAGTTTCTGGAAACCTTGGATCAGAAGTGGCATCAAGGCTCAGGCAAGAACCTGATCGCATCTAAGAGCTAGGCATCCCTGTATAGCACAGGCAAGAAAGGATTGCTTGAAGGAGGCGACCAAGCCTGCCATTGCACTTTCCATATCCATTGTTCAAATGCAAACACCTTTAGTGCACCTTGCTGCCCGGCAGTGAAAGCAAACCACGCGGAGCAAACACGGCCCTTTTCTGTGGGACCTGCAAACATGGATACGACCCACAAACAATACATGATAAGAAGCTACTAGGAACAAAGTGCCTCGCTAGTAGTAACAAGTGCCTTACTACTAGTAACAAAAAGCTATTAGACTTATATAAAATAAAATTAAGTTAGATTAACTAGTAGCTTCTTGTTACTACTAGTGAGGCACTTGTTACTACTAGCGATGCACTTGTTACTACTAGCTTCTTGTTACTACTAGCTAGTAGAGCCGGGGCTGCATGCCATGGCATTTCTCATTGGCTCGTGCAGGTGCAAGGCTTGCATCAGTGATCATGTAGCCTGGTCTCGCAGGGTTGGGATCAGAAGCACCGAATCTCCGTGCTGCAGCCTTCGAGAAGGACAAAGAACAAAAACACTAGAAGGACAGCTGTGCACTGTGTGTTCGATGGAACTGACAAAATCAGCTGGCAATTGGACCCATATGACGTCAAAGACCGCTCATCCTTGACGAAACAAATGCAAACATAGTAACAACTTACAAGTGCATCACTACTAGTCTAGTAACAAGCGTAAGCTGGTCCAGCTTGCACCAATTTGAACAAGAGTCCTGCATCACTGCACCACGGAACACCAATCTCTGACTTTCAGATGGAGTGCCCTCGTGCACAGAAATCTGCGCCTGCCAACAGCACCACCCATGACTCTTCTTACTACAAGCTGGTTGACTTGCATGTTGCGTAAGCACGCAGCAAGCGGAACTGCATCGTATTGCATCCCACCATGCCAGCACAAGCAAGCCCACCATCTTCGTATGTCAAAGTACCTTTGCTG